CTTCCATTCTCCTCTCGGGATCTTGGGCACGCACGCACACGCGCCCGGCGTGAGTTTTAAGCCACCAGGTCCGGGACGCGAACCGCGGTCGACTACACGGGAGTCCAGCGACATAGCCATTATGCTAACTGCTGGTTCCCTTTCATGGAGATCATTTTAAGACACTGAGGAAAACTTAGTATGCTCAGTCTGCAGCAAGCCTACCAAGGAAGGTAGTTCTGTGCAGTGTCTGAAAGACACTGCTCCCAAGAGCCCCTTTCCCCGTGTTAGATTTAACATATATTTCGTAATTGTTTTCATGATAAAAATGAATCAGAAGGGACTAGCTGATGGCGTAGTGGTTACATTACTGGACTCCCTCATAGTCAACTGTGGTTTGAGTCCCAGACCCGGTGGCTTAAACCTCATGCTGGGTGTGCATGCCCAAAATCCCGAGAGGAGAATGAAGGAGAAGGGATTGCAGTATGGCCATTCTCCCGGGGAGTGATTTCTCACTTTCTATCTCTCTCATTCTGGCAGTACTCTCTCTGGTGAGCGCATGCTCCCTCTAACAAAAAAAAAAAGAGAGAGTAAGAGAGTGAATAAAAAGAGGGAGACTTACTGTATAGAGAACAAAATTTGGCATTGAAATACTTTTATTTTTCTGTGTATTCTTTTTAGCCCAATGTGCTTCGAAGCTCAAATTAGACCTGTTTTTAGTGGCACCGGAAGAAGCTCGAGCTGGAAAATAGCAGAGGCTTGTTATTGACTCTGTGGTCAACGGCTTGGCATGAAGTGGGTGACTTCCTTCCCATCCCATTGAAATTTTAGGTTAGGTCAGTGTGCAGGAGCAGAGAATGATGATTTAAAGGGGACTTATTGTTGTTTTCTTTAGAAATGGGCCCCTTTAAGTTATTTTTATGCTCCGTCTAAGTAATTACCGTGCGGCAATCGTGACATCGTTTTCTGAATATTCTGCGCGCGGCTGAAAAGTTGGAAGGTATCGTATATTTAGCACGAAAGTAAACAATGCAGACAGCTATGAAGTTCGGATGATCCCAGGGACACCGAGGAAATAAGATATACAAATTGGTGTTTACTGCCAGGGAGGCGCGAGGGAGGTTGGGACTGGCGTGGTCACTTGGAGGCTGGCTGAGTTGAATAAACTTCTTCTTTTTTTTTTTTTAATTATTTTATTTAACTTTATTTTAATTTGACCAGAAAGGGGGAGAGAGCGAGAGAACAGAGAGGAAGTGAGAAAGCAAACTGCCAGATCTGGGACTCGAACCCCAGTTGGCCATGTGGGAGTCCAGCACTCTTAACCACCATACCACTTGCTGGCCCCTGAGTTGAATAGACTTCTACCAGGGGTCCCAGAAAAACCATGTTATAACTCTGTGGCAATCATACTGCATTTCTATCAGGGTGGTTTAGCAATACATATTTTCAATGTCGATACTATTAAATTTCTTTTTTTTTTTTTTTTAAGAATGAGTTTATTTAACCTTATTTATTTATTTACGTATTTTAATTTGACCAGCGAGAGAGCGAGAAAGGGAGAGAGCAAGCCGCCAGGTCTAGGACTCGAACTGTGGTTGGCCACATGGGAGTCCAGTGCCCTTAACCACCATGCCATGTGCTGGCCCCAAATTTCTTAATGATAGAACTAATGGTCAGTACTTTTATTTAAAAATAAAAATTCTGGGACCAGCAGTTAGCGTAATGACTATGTTGCTGGACTCCCATGTAGTCAACCACGGTTCGAGTCCCGGACCCGGTGGCTTAAACTCAAGCTGGGTGCATGTGCATGAGTGCCCAAGATCCTGAGAGGAGAATAGAGGAGAAGGGATTGTGGTGTGGCCTGGGAGGTGATTTCTCACTTTCTATCTCTCTGTCTCTCTCTGGCAAATGCACGCACCCTAGAGCAAAAATCTCTTCCACACACCCCGCCCCCCAAAAAGAAAAGAATGCTGGTAGCTTTCCCAGCACCCCACATTCTGGTGTTAGCTGCTGCTTGGGTTAAGGTGTGACAGTGCTGAGTTCAGCAGGATGCCACTCACGCTCATTCTGGTTTTGGTTGTAGAGGTTGGCGATTTGAAGGAGCTGCAGACCCTAGACATTTCTACCAATCGTTTGCTAGCTTTACCCGGGAGGCTTCACCTGTGCCTTTCCCTGCAGTACCTCACGGCGGACCGGAACCGCCTGCGCTCCGTGCCCCGCCAGCTCTGCCAGCTGCCCAGCCTCAACGAGCTCTCCATGGCCGGAAACCGCCTTGCGTTTCTGCCCCTTGGTAAGTGGCCGCGGTGCAGCGAGGCCAGACAGCCCACGGATTAGACAGGAAACCGCGCGTCCTTTCACTGAGATGACCCGTCTCTTTTCTGTCTATCTTGAAGGCTGCCTCCCTGAATCCGTTGTTTTGCAATGAACAAAACAGCGCTCCCAGTGAGCAGATGAAATTTAGTTCACTTAGGGATTGCCTATTTTCAAAAGGAATCTGGGTTTAAAAATGTGCTTGGGGGGGCCGGCAGGTAGCGTGGGGGTTAGAGGCCCTTAATTTCCACATGGCCAACCGCGGTTCGAGTCCCAGACCTGGTGGCTTTCTCTCTCTCTTTCTCTCTCTCTCTTTTTCTTTGTCCTTCATTGGTCAAATTAAAATAAGTAAATAAATAAAACTGAATAAAATAATTCTTTTTTAAAAAAAAGTGTTTAGGGAAGCCAGGAGGTGACATGGGGGTTAAGGTGCTGGATGCTCACATGGCTGACTCTGTGGTGTGAGTCCTGGACATGGGGGCTTGAAAATCACGCTGAATGGGACCTGGCAGGTGGCGTGGTGGTTCAGGCACTGGACTCCCACGTGACCAATTGCAGTTCAAGTCCTAGACCTGGTGGCTTGCTTTCGCACTTTCTCTCTCTCTCTCTCT